AGTTTTCAAAAGAAAACCCACAACTTTGCACCACAGACTTATTTAAATATTGCGCGGGAAATACAGATCCGATCGGTTATCCAGCTCGAGAAGTCAGCTGATGTTGCCAAGTGTAAACGCGCCGTGTCCTGATTGACTGATGATCCGATCTGCTTGATCAGATCACGGTGATCGCATGCTAATGCCAAGTGTAAACGCAGCCTATGGGTGGCAAGGCACTGTCAAAAGATCTCTGGGATAAAGTTGTGGACAGACACAAGTCAGGAGATGGATACAAACATTTCAAAGGCTTTATCAATGCCTAGAAGCACAGTGAAGTCTATTATTAAGAAGTGGATGGTATTTGGTACAACACAGACCCTCCCTGGATCAGGACGTCACTCTAAACTGGATGAAAGAGCCAGGAGGAAACTAAGGCCTCAAGAGGCTAACAAGAGGCCTACAGCAACTCTGAAGCAGTTGCAGGAATTTATGACAGAGTGGTCACTGTGTGCATGTGACAACAATATCACAAATTCTCCAAAAATGTGGCTTGTATGAGAGGGTTGCAAGAAAAAAGCCACTCCTCAAGAAGAGCCCCATGCAGTCACGACTGAGCTTTGCCAAAATGCACCTTGAAGATTTTGAGGCCACATGAGAATAAAATTTAATTATTTGGCCTCAACGCCAAACGATATGTCTGGCAGAAATCCAATACAGCTCACCATCCAAATAACAGCATTCCTCCAGTAAAGCATGGAGGTGCTAATATCTTGTTATGGGGTTGTTTCTCTGCAGCAGGGACTGAAGCACTTGTCAGGATAGAAGGGAAAATGGCAAAATACCATCAAATTCTTGAGGAAAATCTGCTGCCCTCTGCTAGAAAGTTGTCAATGGGAAGAAGGTTTACCTTCCAACATGACAATGACCCAAAGCACACAGCAAAACTGAGCACACAGTGGTTAAAGGAGAAAAAGGTGAATGTCCTTGCATGGCCTAGTCAGAGCCCAGACTTAAACCCTATTGAAAATCTGTGGAATGACTGGAAGACTGCAGTCCACAGACAGTCAACCATCAAATTTAACTGAACTTGAGCAGTTCTGCAACGAAGAGTGGGCAAATATTGCAAAGTTAGTAGAGATGTATCCCAACAGACTAAAGGCTGTAATTAAAGCAAAAGGTGGTTTAACAAAATACTGACACACGGGTGTGATCCTTTGTCCATCTCAGTGATTGTTTTTTTCTGACATGTTGGTGTTATATTTTTTACTTGGATGTTATAAGTGGCACTGAGTAAATACAGCTGGATAAAACAAAAACAGCGTCTGTCTTCATTTCAGGCTGCAAAGCAACAAAATGTGATTAATTTATTAATTATATATATCCTCACCAAGGCTGCATTTATTTGTAAAAAATACAGTAAAAACAGTAATATTGTGAAATATTATTACTTTTTAACTTTTTTTTTTAAATTGAATATATTTTAAAATGTAATTTATTCCCATGATGGTAAAACTGAATTTTCAGCATTATTACTCCAGTCTTCAGTGTCACATGATCCTTCAGCAATCATTCTAATTGGCTAATTTGCTGCTTAATATTTTAGTAGAAACCATGATACTTTGTTTTCCAGATTCTTTAATGTCTTTATTGAAAACAGAATTTTGGGAACAATGTAAAAGTCTTTTTTTTTCATTTTTGATAAAATTTATGTATTCTTACAGAATAGGTGTTAATTGCTTTAGAACAAATATTACTGACTGTAAACTTTTAAATGGTTGTGTATGTGTGTGAAAACAAAAGGGAAAAGAAAAGGAAAGAAAATTTAATTAAATACCCTGGCAAATCAAATAAATATGACAAACCGTACAATAAATTCACCAATTTCGAAATTACTGCAATATTGAACCATTTGTTTCACATTGTTAAATGATACCATTAGTGCTCTTCTGTATCGTCAACTGACCCCACTGTTTCTGTCCCATTTTTCCTTTGTGACGTTTATTGAAACCTTTTTGAGAAAACGCTGTCAGCCATCTATTGTACTAAAGTGGAGAGGGCAGTAAACTCGTGCGCCATGTGATTTATGAATGGCTCCAGACTCTGCTGACGCCATGATGCTCACCATCCCTCAAATCTTTTTTCCCCTCTTTCTCTTTCTCTTTCTCTTTCTCTCTCACTCTCTCTCAGGCACTCTGTACTGCCACTTAAAGCAGTACTCTAATGTGGTGTCTAAGCATCTCCAGAGGCCTAACATCAGTCTCTATGGGTACATCTATGATAAAGCTGGTACAAATACGGACCCGGAGCCCAGCCCCAGCGACAGCAACTTAACCACTGCGCCTTCTCCCTGTCCTGCAGACTGCCATTAATGCTGGTCAACATTTAACTCAACCTGTCCAAATGCCTCAGTGCTTTCTTTTCCTTTAGAAATACTTTTTTGGGTGATTGTCTAGAGAGCACATTATGCCTTTTTTTCTTTTCTTTTCTACCAGTGAGTAAGTTTCAAGTCACAATTAATAAGGGGACGGAAAGTATAGCAATGGAAAGTATAAGTCCTTATTTCTGGTGAACATCATCTAGGTTTAATCCCGGGATAGTTTTTCCTGTAATGTCAGACAAGCTTCCCTGGGATCAAGCTTACTGCATGATCTTGTGGAATTAAATGATCCAGTTGGGTGACCAAGGTGTAGTCATTTTTTTTTTTCTTCAGGAACTAACAGTGATTTACAATAAAGTGGGTAGCGAATATTAACAAAATATGCATGAAAACCTCTAAATACACAGTAAAGTCCCCTGTGACACTTTATTATGAAATGTATTGCATAAGACTTATCCTTCTTTTTTTTAGTTCCTCAAATATGAAAAGGTTTGATAATGAAAGATGTGAAAAGAAATTATTACCTGTTGAAAAACAACTTGTATAATCACACTAATGGAACTGCTGCAAATCAGATTGTGGGAAAAATATATAGTCTCTGCATGGCATTTTTAGCGATATATTATGCTCAAGGTTTTTACAGTTTCATTTATTGGTTTGATTAAAGGCACCTTCAGGAAATGGGGTTGATATTTAAAGGTAGTGAATATTTTCGTATGTTTTGTTCTTTATTTTATTATGATCTGATAATTAAAATGGTTGATTCAGACACTTGTCAGCTGTTTTTTCAACACGTGGATACAAACCTCAGTTTTTAACAGCTGGATGCACTGTATTTAATTATATTCAATTATATATACTTACAATATAGTTACAAATTCAATGTCATCTATCCAAGTCATCACAATGAAAAATGATCCTTACATTCTTTGCCATGCTACATTATTGTAAAGTTTAAGATGTATATTTCTGATGTTTCTTTTACATTCATTTTAAATATTATTTAACAACTAAATATTTTTTTCTTTTTGAATTGTCATGTAAACATTTAAACATTTTGCAAAATCGGAACAATAGAGCTAGATTGTAGCTTGGCTTTGTCCAGCATGTATACACCACTGTTAGAGACCATGTTAGAGTCATAAATTGTAGTTCTAGTTTGACCTAACTGACCTCTTTTGATCACCTTTTCTTATGACTGTTCCCAATCAACCTCATGCTTTTGAAGGATTTCATCAGTTCAACCCAGATCACAAGTGCCACTTGGCGATCAAAAGATGGAGCCTTATAAGCGCACTATTGTTTTATGATGAGCAGATGCAGTATTCCCTTGTTTCTCAAATACTGGGGTCAATAAAGGGCCAGACTTTAATAGAAATTTAAATGTCAATGAAATGAGTTAAGAAGCATTACATTCTTGTCAACATTTGTTTCATGAAGAATGAAATTGTGGATGTGGAAGTATCAAATTATATTTATTTTTTAAATGACAGCTGACTTTAATAAGATCCCTGCTAAGGGAGGCTCTCGGCTTCGTCTGTTTCAAGAGCTGAAGTCAGAGAGCACCAAAATGGCATTTTCACTTATAATGGCATGACCTTACTTGTGCTTGGTTACAAGACGCTTTTTGCTCTGACAGTCCTGCAATCTAGAGTTTCGATTATAGCACCAATCAAGAACAGAGAGGTGCAAATGTAGATGTTTTATTATAATGACATGTATAACGGCATCACAGTATGAACCTGTGATTCATATGGCACTTTGTACTATTCTGCTGTTACACAGCACCTTTTGTGGTTATAGAATGAGTGCTGCTCTATATAATACAATTGTGGAGACTATCACTAACATTAATGAGAGTCAGAATTGCTAGTATATTTTTCCACACATAAAAAGGTCATACATGATGCTTTGATCCTGAAAATCATGCATTTGGCATTCTCTTAATGCTGTATTTTAATCATACCTGTTTTACTTTTGAAACGACCATGATAGCAGCCCAGTGATGATTAATGACAATGCTTTATTTTTCTGGTTGTTGGCCACTAAGAGTGATGAAACTAGTTTTGAGGTACTGAGGGGGAGGGAAGGCAATTAGCTCAGACTGTAAAATCTGCCAACATAAAGACCATCAATCTAGATGACTGAAACCACACGGTCAAGCAAATTCTGCACAATCCCTCAGAAAATTAGGAAAGCGTAATTGTCTAATGTGATTAAGAATGAGGTTACTCAAAATATCAATGTTTTCATTAAGCCCTGACGCAACTTAATTTGAAGTCATTTTAATAAATATTTCATTGAATTTTAAACACAATGGTTGCTAGTGTTTATGCTTGTCTGTTAATTACTATTTAACATTTATTAAAAGGAAAGTGCATTAAAAAGCATGGTAGGAAGTGGAAGAGCCAAGCGTTTTCCCATTTATTTGTACAATAAATTTACACACATATAAATATATATATATATATATATATATATACTACTAGTCAGCTAATGTGTGAAAATATCCCATATATAATTCCAATGTACCCATTTTATGTTTAAGGATATGCAATTTCATCTTAACTTCTACAATTCAAATTTAGTAATTTCCAAGGAATTTCCTAGTTTCCAGTTCTGACTGGTGCCAAACTCTGATATGCAGGTAGGTTATATCTGATCCCTTTCCATAAGCATCACAGCACACTGAGCACAGTTGCACTCTCGTGCATTATTTATTGTGCCCATTAACGCTGTAGTGAACTGGATGTTTGGCCATAGGTGTGAAGTAGTTCATGGTGCAGCAACGTTAAAATGCTATCCTTTTGAGTTCCACAGTCATATCAAAAAAATGAATTACATTATAGAGAGAGAGTTAATCTATTCAATCAACAACAGATGACCCTGAAGCTTTTTGTTTCAAACTAATAATTAAGGAAATCTGACCCTTTGAAATGTGCTCTTGTTATATTTGCAACAGTCTTGGGATGCATACTTTCGTAACGCCCAAGCCAGCAGTTCAAAGGAGACTGGAGAGAAGCATCTGTCTGCACTGCTTCAGGGGCGAGGCATGTCCCAGTCACCTGCCATGTCAGAGAAGGTGGTGGAGGATCATTTGGCAGTTCACACTCTTACCAGAGCCTATCAGGTAAGTGAGGAGCTCTGGGTTAAAGGTTCACTCAAAAATGAAAATTTGCTGAAATTGTACTCAGGCCATCCAAGATGTAGATGAGTTTGTTTTTCCATCTGAACAGATTTGCAGAAATTTAGTATTACATCACTTGCTCACCAATAGATCCTCTGCAGTGAAATGTCTTAATGATTTGTTTCTGACAAACACACAGCTGGAGTCTGTGGATTATATAGTGATGTTTTCATCAGCTGTTTGAACTTTCATTCTGATGGCACCCATTCATTTGGTGAGCAACTGATGTAATGTTAAATTTCTCCAAATCTCCAGCAAATTTTCATTTTTGGGTGAACTATTCAGTTTAACCACCAAGAACGATAATTATAACGATAACCATAACTAAGTTTTAAAAATAGTAAAGTATAACAATAGCAAAGTCCACACCACAGATATAACAATTACAGCACAGAGGAACAATATTGTTGGAATCACATTTTTTTTTTCAAGCAGTGCGATTATAATAAACAGAACTTTATCATCCATTGGTGTGGATGTTATTATAGTTTTCATTCTTGATGTGAATAGGCCTTTAGACGTTAGGGAACGTGGATCTAAATGCAGGCAGTTTAATGAGAAAACAAGAAAAAAAAACAGTAAACCAAAAACAGGGACAACAGGAACAAAGAACCAAAACACGAGCAGAAACGTCTCCATTACATTCAACAACTGACAAAGCAAAAGAGAAACACAAGGGATGTTTATACAAGGGAGAACAAAAGGGACCAATGAGATATGGGAACTAGAAAGGAGTGGGTGTGGTCCAATGAGTGACTATGGCAACTGATTAGGGTAACTATGGAGACAAACAAGGCACACAGCTGAAAGTGGCAGAACACACCAAAGTCCCTTTAAGACAAGTCATTTCACTCGGCAGCCATCTTTGAAATGCCTCCCAGGCATGCAAGTGCAGCTCCTATCTCTTTGAATGGGGAAACATCAAATTCTCCAAAACTGTTTGCTAAGCTTATGATTAAATTTCATATTTGAAATCACCAATGAAATCTGACAAGAGCTGTCTCATAAATGTTGTTTCTTTTGCTCAATTAGCATTAAAAAATGTTCAAAATTATTATTCAGACTAGACCAGCCAGTGCGCATGCACAGTCCTAAGTGCACATCTCAGAATGCTGACTGTTTCTATAGCAACCGGGAGTGACACGTCTTGGGTATTCTGTAGTCTTCGAACACACTCAAGGAAACTGGTAACAAAGAAATGCAAGAATTTCAGAGGGGTGTTTTTTTTTTAGTTGAGAGAATCTGATACACAATTTATTTTGATAAAATAATCAAATCATATTCTCTAACATTGGCACTGGACTGCAACAAATCAAAGACAGGCCTGTACAGTACATCCATACATTTTATAGTGTCCCTGTGTAGTTATGCAAAACACGTGATTAGTTCTAACCTAATTAGACTAGCTTTTTCCCTTTTGAAAATGAAAATATCAAAGAGATTGCTTGAATCAAAACAGGTGGTAACATTTTCCCTGCTTCCTCTAGTTAATTAGATGAAGTATCGTAGGGATTTATTAAATTCTGTCTTTTGGCAAAGCCAGCATTTTTCTTCCATCTCCTGTTGCCAGCCTGTTGGGATTGTATGTTCAATTTATTGTGAATCCTTGTGAGATTTGTTAGTCATGTGTCACACTGGTTCATATTTGTGTGGGTCAGATATCCCCTAGTTGAGGAAATGCACTTCCTGGCTCAGTCTCGCTTCTGGTTCTTGTTTTTCTTTGGTTATGGAGATGGCAAGTAACATTCAATCATGTGCATTTTGCTCACTTTAGGCACATGGTCACCATGTGGCCAGGCTGGACCCTCTTGGCATCCTCACTGCCGATCTGGATTCCTTCGTTCCCTCAGATTTAATCACGTCAATTGACAAGCTTGGTGAGATATCCATTTAGCATATTTAATATTTAACTTCATGGCTCTTATAAATACTCACTTCATTTCAGTGTCTTACTTTATGAAGGATCTTTGTTCTGAAATCATCCAGCAAATGCTGACAGCGAGGCTAACAGAGAATAATAACAAAAACACTCTTAAGGATGAGCCCCAAGCAAGGAAATTCAATACGGCAGCTGCTGAGTAATAAATACACTGCTAAATATATTTTTATCTTACAGACTTATTGACATGACAATGTCATATTATGTCTAGTCATTAATGCAAATCATACATATACTGTATACTGTATGTTGACATTATCATCTTCTATGATAAGTATTTCTGTATTACAATGTAAACCCCTTAACTGTGACCGTCCCACCTGTGGGATGGTTGACGCTCTTTTTGGTTGTTGTCCTTTTTCTCTATCAAATCTTTAAGCAATCATCATAACTATCATAGTATATACTATTTGAAAGCTTAGAAGCCCAAGATTCATCCTGTGAAAACCATTTTGAAATCGGACATTGCGTTACCATGGAAATGGTACTTTAAAATCTTTTGGCGGTCTCCTCCCCATTAGTGGGCAGTGTCAATTGTCATATTACAAAATGCATTACGGTCTTTTAGAATCAAACCTTTTTATAATCTTGACAAAAAACAGCAAGGTCTGAGTCTCAGGATTCCATATTTGGTGGGAGATAGAGGTAATATTGACAGAGAAATCTAAACATTTGTGACAGAAAAATGCATTAAAAAAAATTCAGTGGAGTTTGGATGGCACCCGGTGGCTGTTTGTGGTATAACGCCCTAAATAAAATTCACAGGAACCTCAATTTTTTTCATATCAACTTCAAATTTGGAACATAACTTATTTAGACAAGGCTTTAATTGTATACCAGTTTTAGAGTAAAACCTGTTATGTAAAATATTTATTATAAATAAAATAAAATGAATATAGTGCATTTTATTTACCGTAAATGTAAACTTCTATAACTTTTTGATACTTACATTTTTTTAAATTTAATTCCACTTTTGCAATAATCTGCTGATTTTCTTCTTTAAAAAGAGACCAACCTTTGGTCTGTATTCCAAAGTGTTCATAAATTACAACAATTTAAGTTTGGATAGTGCACTTTCATGCTATTTTAAAAAATGGGGGCTGACAGTTAAGGGGTTAATAAAGTTAAAACCTGTCCAGATAATGAAATAAAGGGGAAAAAAAAGCTTTATTAAAGGAATTAAATTATTGAAAAGAAATCTTCATGAAGAATATTGACATAATCTTTTATTATTAATTCTTAGAATAATATTTTCATATTTAAAAAAAATATTTTAAAATGAAAAAAAAGTTATATATATAAAGGGATGAAAAGCATGTATTTTAACGAACATGCAGAAATATACAGGAAAAAAATAGAAATGACACACGTCAAGATCATTAAATTTCTTAAAATGTTGTATAATTTTATCTTTTTATGGCAAGGAAAGGTTAGTTCAGGTTGTAAAATCATGTCATGGTGTGACTCTTGATATTTATGATATTGAATGAATTGACCTTAAAAGCTCATGTTATTTGTAATAAAATATTTTAAATTGAATTTTTAAAATTTAAATAGAATAAAACAAAATCTAAATCATATGAAACCAACATGAATACAAACAATATATTTCTAAGAATGTGTTTTTAAAACAGATTATTATTATTATTATTATTTTCCCCTTCATCAAGGACACTTTAATGTCATTGAGCAACAGATTTCAGGCTTCCAAAAATATATAACAGTATTTTTGTCTTTTGATTTTAAATCTTTATCTTTGTGGTTTATTTTGTCTAATGTCAGCGTTACTGTTCTGTCTTGCATTACAAGCCAGCGCAAGCTACCGGAGCTGTGTCTAATGTAATTGGTGGCTGACCTTGCCAACCCCAGCCACTGTGTTTATACGTCACTGTAGCAACAAAGCTGCACCCATCCACTGCATACATCTCCTTTTTAATTATGAAAGGAAAATTAGATTGTCGGAGCCCATTACGGTCTTTTAGAATCAAACCTTTTTATAATCTTGACAAAAAACAGCAAGGTCTGAGTCTCAGGATTCCATATTTGGTGGGAGATAGAGGTAATATTGACAGAGAAATCTAAACATTTGTGACAGAAAAATGCATTAAAAAAAATTCAGTGGAGTTTGGATGGCACCCGGTGGCTGTTTGTGGTATAACGCCCTAAATAAAATTCACAGGAACCTCAATTTTTTTCATATCAACTTCAAATTTGGAACATAACTTATTTAGACAAGGCTTTAATTGTATACCAGTTTTAGAGTAAAACCTGTTATGTAAAATATTTATTATAAATAAAATAAAATGAATATAGTGCATTTTATTTACCGTAAATGTAAACTTCTATAACTTTTTGATACTTACATTTTTTTAAATTTAATTCCACTTTTGCAATAATCTGCTGATTTTCTTCTTTAAAAAGAGACCAACCTTTGGTCTGTATTCCAAAGTGTTCATAAATTACAACAATTTAAGTTTGGATAGTGCACTTTCATGCTATTTTAAAAAATGGGGGCTGACAGTTAAGGGGTTAATAAAGTTAAAACCTGTCCAGATAATGAAATAAAGGGAAAAAAAAAGCTTTATTAAAGGAATTAAATTATTGAAAAGAAATCTTCATGAAGAATATTGACATAATCTTTTATTATTAATTCTTAGAATAATATTTTCATATTTAAAAAAAATATTTTAAAATGAAAAAAAAGTTATATATATAAAGGGATGAAAAGCATGTATTTTAACGAACATGCAGAAATATACAGGAAAAAAATAGAAATGACACACGTCAAGATCATTAAATTTCTTAAAATGTTGTATAATTTTATCTTTTTATGGCAAGGAAAGGTTAGTTCAGGTTGTAAAATCATGTCATGGTGTGACTCTTGATATTTATGATATTGAATGAATTGACCTTAAAAGCTCATGTTATTTGTAATAAAATATTTTAAATTGAATTTTTAAAATTTAAATAGAATAAAACAAAATCTAAATCATATGAAACCAACATGAATACAAACAATATATTTCTAAGAATGTGTTTTTAAAACAGATTATTATTATTATTATTATTTTCCCCTTCATCAAGGACACTTTAATGTCATTGAGCAACAGATTTCAGGCTTCCAAAAATATATAACAGTATTTTTGTCTTTTGATTTTAAATCTTTATCTTTGTGGTTTATTTTGTCTAATGTCAGCGTTACTGTTCTGTCTTGCATTACAAGCCAGCGCAAGCTACCGGAGCTGTGTCTAATGTAATTGGTGGCTGACCTTGCCAACCCCAGCCACTGTGTTTATACGTCACTGTAGCAACAAAGCTGCACCCATCCACTGCATACATCTCCTTTTTAATTATGAAAGGAAAATTAGATTGTCGGAGCCGACTGAAAAAAACACTTTCATTGCAAAGTGAGGATTTCCAGTTATTAGACCATTCATCAAATGACAAATTGTGAATTTTCTGCACATAAAACCCAATGCGTGCTATTTCTAAGATGTTCCTGTGTGTAATCTTTTAGATCAGTCTTTTCATTTTAGCTCAGGGCTTCCGAAGACCATTGGAAGTTGCTTCACTAATCTTATAATCAGAGCTGATAGCACTTCATATTATATAAGGATCAAGATTATTGTAATGAAGTTTAGTAACACTGCTTGTACCAGTGCTTGCGTTTTGGTTATTTGGTGACTCATAGTGCTCGATTAATGGAAAGGGGGAGAGAGAGCACGTATGTGTCTCCTTTTAGGGGCTGTAGCTGTGTAAGTGGTCAGCAAACAATTCCTCATTCGGCCATTACAGATTCCCCAGTCTCAGACAGCGACAGCGACAGGAACTGGAAGGGAGAGCTATGCCCCAGACTCAATCGCAAGCACAGGTTAATGTTATCTGAGATAAAGGCCCATAAATCTTCCCCTTTGCTCCTGTCAGGTCCTATTGCCTTTAGTGTCGCCAGAGTAGAAGGATGTAGGACATGTTCTCACAACAGATCGAAAAAGAGAGAGTAGTAGCCAGTGAGAAGACCTCTCAAAACATGCCTCTTTTACCTTAGTACACTCTCATTGTGTCGGTCAGGTCAGGTTTTGTCAGAGCTTTTCCTAAAGCATCTGTGCAGCTAATGAGGGCATGTATTGGACCAGAGGCTCTTAATTTCGGTACGATGCATCTTTCCTCTTTATCTGTACTGTGACTTTAATTACATTTGCACCTGTCTCCTCTTGTGTGTGCTCCTCTCTTGAGGAGACACAGTCTTACTGATAGACCCCAGTGTTATCTACAGGAAGCATTTACAAACTACTACTGTATGATTGCTTGCTTTTCTTTCACTGTTTGTGGGTGTAACTAACCATGAAATTGGTAATGATGTTAGTTAGGCTTTACATATCAGGGCTCTAGGCTGTGGCTAAGTGGTTGAAAATGTGTCAAAATCTAAAAATGTGCCACATTAATTTAAAATCTATAAAGTTTTGTGTCTGTCCTTATGCAGTTTTGTCGGTTATCCTCATCTTAAAATTGGTCGTGAAGCAGTCGTTACACTCTGGTTATTCACCATTGTAAAATTCAAGAATAATGAAAGTATGACTATATCCAAACAAAACAAATGATCGCCAGTACATGACATCCGGTCTGGTCTAGCCACAAAAGTTAATTTCAATGCATCTGAAGCCCAAAAAATATGCATACGAACATGATCTGAATTCCATACTACTCTCCATTGTAAATGACTTCCAGTCTGTCCTTTGTCTGAGATAGTGAAAAGGATGCTTTAGCTTGTGGCAGTATTTCCTGCAAGCATCAACAAACACAGCTTGAGCTGTGATGTGCGATTCACAAATAAATGACTCTTATAAAATGGTTCTTTTTAATGAGTCAGTCAAAAAAGATTCATAAAACAGACTTATAAGGCAGCTGTTTGAATCAGATTCACTCAATAAATCATTAATAGCCGTTTTTGAGACTGCGAGTCATTCTTCAGTTATTCTTCAGTAACTGTGTTGTACAAATTACAAAAGAGTTTTGTTGTGTACATGAATAATGGTATTCTATAATATACTGCAGGTTTAGTTTTAATATTAAATCAACTGTGAGAGAAAGCTGTTTGAGTGACTTGTTGGAACCACAATCAGTACATCTTTACCTCATAATATTTGGTTTAAAAAGGAACATTGCATGGATTTGATTAAATGTCAATACAGTATTTCTTTTGTTGCTGTTTTTGCACGAATATGCTTCTCCTCTTGAATCTTTAGGGTCGTACGGCTTGGAAGAATCTGATCTGGATAAATCATTTCAGTTGCCACTAACCACATTTATTGGGGGAAATGAAAGCACACTCCCACTGAGAGAAATCATACACAGACTTGAGGTGGGTAGATGCTGGATTGTGACATCACCCAGTATTTGAATAGAAACACTCTTTCCTCATTCCTCATTAGCTGGTTTTGTGCTTGGATTGATTCAGATATGACATTGACTAGTTCATCTGAAAGGATGTAATTTGGGCAAATATGACAAGCTCATTGCTTATATTATGTTGATTTTTAATTATACTTCAAAAATGAATGCATTAATGAATGAATGAAAGGGTAAATAGAATTTACTTGGAATGTTCCAGACATCATACTGTGGTCATACTGGAGTGGAATTCATGTTCATTAACAATATGGAGCAGTGCCAATGGATTCGACAGAAGTTTGAAACTCCAGGAAGCATGACATTTTCTGACAGAGAGAAGAGGACTTTGCTGGCCAGGCTGGTTCGCTCAACACGGTGCGTATCTTTAAAATAAAGTACTGCATCTGTGTTCTTTCCTTGTCTTTGTATTAGAGAATTATTTTTCCATGCTTAAACCTAGTTTAATATTGGAATCAGAACTGCATTTTATTTCTTCTTTTTAATTAAGCAAAGTAAAGCTGACGAAATAATTTTTTTTTAACTTGATTCAATGTTCTATGTTTGAGGACTTTCTTGCTCGCAAATGGTCTTCAGAGAAACACTTTGGTTTGGAAGGCTGTGAGGTTCTCATCCCTGCCCTGAAGATGATCATTGATAAGTCCAGTGAAGCTGGTATAGAGAGTGTAATTATGGGAATGCCTCACAGGTACCCCTAAAGCCTGCTCCATTCAATCTCACTCTGCTCTTATGAATCCACCCAAGCAATAATAACACAACGTCTGATTCACACAGAGGCCGACTGAACGTCCTGGCCAACGTAGTTCGCAAAGATCTGGATCAGATATTCTGTCAGTTCGATCCCAAACTTGAGGCTGCAGATGAGGTAATACAATTACATCTGATGAAAGATGATTTTCGTTTTATTTTCATTCTGTTATTGCACTTCTGATGTTCTTCAGGGTTCGGGAGATGTGAAATATCACTTGGGGATGTACCATAAACAGATAAACAGGGAAACAGATAAGAATATCACATTGTCTCTGATGGCAAACCCCTCTCACCTAGAGGCGGTATATCCTGTCGTTCAGGGCAAGACCAAGGCAGAGCAGTTTTACAGAGGAGACACTGAAGGAAGGAGGGTAGTCCATTTATCTTCAGATTATCTTTAAAGATGAGCCACAGTAAAATATATCAACATATTCTTTTTCTGCTGTATAATAGCTAATTCATTTGGAATGTTGGATATATACAAACCAACAACAGTGTTTTTAAAGCCATCAGTTTCTTTCTTTGCAGGTGATGTCCATTCTGAATTTTGACGCTGCTTTTGCGGGTCAGGGAGTTGTCTATGAAACCTTCCATCTCAGTGAACTGCCTTCATATACCACTCACGGCACCATCCATGTTGTGGTCAATAATCAGGTTAACATCAAACATCAGATTTTCCTATGAAAAATCGACCTTGTTAAAACCTGAGGAGTGGCTTTCCGCCAAATCTTTGACCTTTTAGTATATTGTAGATTGATGAGTGTTATCTGATGTTGCCAGATTGAATTCACCACAGATCCCCGAATGGCACGTTCCTCTCCCTACTCAACGGATGTGACTCGCGTAGTCAATGCACCCATCTTCCATGTCAACGCTGATGACCCAGAGGCTGTGATGTATGTTTGTAAGGTTGCTGCAGAATGGAGAAACTCTTTCAACAAGGATGTGGTGATAGACCTGGTAAATACTGTGAAGACACATCCTACATGTTAATGAAAATATCACTGAATGCTACGATTAATCACTTGCTGGTAAGGACTGCTCGATTACACAACTAAAGATCCATTAACCTGGTTCAAGTATCACAATCTTTTCTCTTACACTTAGGGATGCCAACCAATGGTCTGTGAAGGTACTACAGGGGCTCCATGGACAGATATTTAAAACCATTGCCTCTGTTTTTGTGACTTCAGCGGTCACTTACATTTTAGAAAATATGTCCGGTTACTAAATTTATTTTTACTTTTGCAATTAAATTGTTACAAAACAAAGCTAAAACATGATCAGTGGTTGTGCATCCCTGGGCAATATACAGTAGTGATGTTTTGTTTGTGAATGTATCAAATGGTTCTGAATGAATTGAGTAAAACGTTACTGAATGAATCAGTTTTTTTTTTTAGGAGTTGATGATTCTCTTTTCTAACAATGTAACCATGAAAAAAAACTTACTGTAGTGTCCTCATTACTAAAGGCCTATTCACACCAATAAAAAACTGTTACATAACTTTTATTCATTATGCACATTTTAAAGTGGGGAAGTCGTGGCCTAATGGTTAGAGAGTCGGACTCGTACCGGCAGGGATTGTAGGTGGGGGAGTGAATGTACAGCGCTCTCTTCCACCTTCAATACCTTGACTGAGGTGCCCTTGAGCAAGGCACCAAACCCCCAACTGCTCCCCGGGCGCCGCAACAAAACATGGCTGCCCACTGCTCTGGGTGTGTGTTCACTGCTGTGTGTGTGCACTTTGGATGGGATAAATGCAGAGCACTAATTCCGAGTATGGGTCACATTCTATCTATATATTGATATTGTTGTGATGTGGACTCAGATATTGTCTTATAGATAAATAGATTTGTAATTTAGGTTTTGCATTTATGATCATATGATCCTGAGTGGCACACCCTCAGAACTCATTTTGAACACTGAGGAAATGTATTTGAAATCTTACTTGGGTTTACTGGATTAATTTTACTAATCCAGTTTAAACAACGTCTAAAATATTCAACTTTAATTTGTAACTGTTAAATATGTAGAAAAGAACGGAAAAGAGTAAAAACAGGATAAACATTGTATCTTAGGTAAACAGTGGCAATAGTGTTTTTTAGAAATTGCTTGGTTGATTAATGATACTGAATTTGCGTATTAATACACATATATTGAATTTGTTGATATATTTTATAGGTGTGCTACCGGCGGTTTGCTTATTAATACACATATATTGACGATGTTGATATATTTTATAGGTGTGCTACCGGCGGTTTGCTTATTAATACACATATATTGACGATGTTGATATATTTTATAGGTGTGCTACCGGCGGTTTGGACATAATGAGATGGATGAGCCCATGTTCACTCAACCCCTCATGTACAAGCAGATCCGCAAACAGGAACATTTGCTGAAGAAGTACGCTGACAAGCTCATCTCTGAGGGAGTTGTAACACTGCAAGAGTTGGAGGTTTGTGTCTCACTCTATGAAAATCTCATTACTGTGTCATTATGTAATGTGAAAATATCCACCTGCTGTTGTTCCTCCCACAGGTCATCCTAATTGACCTTTTTAACTCATCTAAAACATCTTTTCCACAGCTGTTGTTTTCCTGGCCTATTAGGGAGTGATGGGTTTACTGTACCATTTGTATATTGTTTCCTGACAATTGATGGAGGCTGTGTTCAGATGCTCAGCCAATGTCTTTTCTTTCTGGCGATGACATGTTTCATACTTCATCCGCTGACCCAGGCTCTCGTTCCCTGGGCTCAGAGCTAGCCACCCCTCCCCTCCCAACCACCCTCAGATTTGTGTCACCGTAGAAACCACAATCGTAAGACCAAACCATCCCTCCGGTGCAGATAGCTGACACCTTGTCTCGCCCGGCGACAGCTCGTTTTATTTACAACTGCATCCCTGTCACTCTTCACTTGCTGACATAGCTCAGGGGATTTCACTTAGAGAATAAATTGTAACTGGAATCTTGCTGTTTTCTCTACGCCGTAGCACATAGGTGCCATGAATCGTTAATTAATAATTTGTCACAAATGTGTCATGTGTCTGGGTTTTTCATGAATATAGTGGATGGCGGGCTAGCACTGTGAATTGTTTTCAGGAGGAGGTATGCCAGCTCTAAAGATGAGAAGATCCTACACATCCACCACTGGCTTGACTCTCCGTGGCCAGGTACATACTGAAGACTTTATAGATGCTAGGCGTTTCAGTGAATATAGTATAAGATCAGCATTTCTCGACCTTTTTGACTCCAAATCCTCCCATTGTTTGTCACCTTTTTCATGTCACCTTTATTTTTATATAGCTCTACTGAAGACAGAAGGGTCGTTATTCAGCTCAAGCAGTAACAGTTGTCGATGTTGCAAAAATCATGAATTATGAACCAATTCGAGTACCAATTCAATAATATTGTCATTATTCAGCTCAATTCAGTTCAAGTTTTGTTATTATTTTGTTCTCATCCATAACAATATTTGAAGGTTCCCTATAGTCCTAGTTTTGTTTTCAAAACCTTTAACTTTTAATTAGATTTTAATGAATGGGCACTCCTAGTTACTGTAAATTAAAAAAGTAACTAAAATAGTTATAATTAAAAAATAAAATAATTACATTACAGTGATTTATTGGATAAAGATCAAGTACAAGGATTTCTAAAAATCTTTTTACACACAATTTATTGTCAGTAAAATATTTTAATATTTAAAAAAAAATTATATTCTTTATAAAATGCCCATGGCATTTTAAGATTCATTTATACAGTATGCCATTTCCGGGTTTAGAGATCACACTACCTCTTATATCCAGGTTTTCCCAGACTGGAAATAGATTTTAATACTTGTTTTGTCATATTTAAAATAATTTTAAGTCTTCTTTAGGCTCCCTTTAAAGTTTGCTAAGGCCCACTGGTAGAACACCACTGGTTTAGATCCTATTGGTGGTGATATGTGTTCTGTTTTGTGTTTAAGACTTCTTCAAACCAGATGGGGAGCCAAAGAGCATGAGCTGCCCTCCCACTGGACTAAACAAAGAGGTGCTCAGGCACATTGGTGAGGTAGCCAGTTCAATCCCTCTAAAGGATTTTGCCATTCATAGTGGTGAGTTTTGGATATTTTAGCATTAAATTCAGAGATCTGTTTGTGGCAGTGTTGAAACCACAATTTCTATCCCAAATTATACAAGTATTCCTAAACTTGGGGTGCTGTAGCCCAGTGGGCAAAAATCTAGGCTGGTAACTGAAAGGATGCTGGTTCAAAAACTGGTAAAAAGCTTAATCCCTGAACTATCACCATTGTATCATTGTGCAAGGGGCCTGTCAAACTCCAAATATACATTATGAGCATAAGGCATATTAACACATATGGCATAGACATATTACATATAAAACTTTTATATTAAAAAAATTACATGATAATGATACCTAATATGATAAAAAAGAAGAAAAAAAATCAAGCATAGCTATGCTTTTACAAGAAACAGTCTTATTTTGTGATTGGTCCCAGATGCATAATATATATTTTTTTTCCATCAAGCCCAAAAAGAAAAGAAATTAAAATAAACATGGCCAATATTTGCAATAAAGGTAGTACATATATAAAGTATTTTCCTACTGAATATGAATTAACTTTATAAATGTTATTTATTTTCTCTGTGTGTAAATAAAAAAGCAGCAAGCTTAATGTTGGTTTGATAAATCTTTTATACTTCTATGCTTTTTTTCCTGTTGGACCGACAAAAATCCCATAGACTTCCAATGAAAACTTCTACTATCTAGCTTATATATCAAGCAGGGCTTTGTCAAGCCAACATTAAAGTCTGTCTTGACCAACTTTACTTTAAAAATAAATAAAATGAATTGCATTTATTTTCAAAGTGTCACACAACAAAAGATACAAGTGTCTGATTTTCTATATGTTCTGCATCTGTGTTATGTCATTGAGACATTTCAGGCTTGTCATGTATCCTTCGAGGCAGAGCGGATATGGTTGTGAAACACACGATGGACTGGGCCTTGGCAGAATACATGGCCTTCGGCTCTTTGCTGAAGGATAGTATTCATGTGCGACTCAGTGGACAAGATGTGGAAAGAGGAACATTTAGGTAAGATAGTCAGTCCATTTCATGAAAACTACTGTAGCTGCTCACTTTTTAAGTATTATGATTTATGAAGGAAGCACATGCAGTCACGGAAGACTAGACAAAACAGTGTGATTTCATGTATTGGGCCACTTTCCATTCCTAAACTGACTAGATTTCTGTAACTAAAAATAACCAAGTATATATTTTCTACCTTATGGCTCCATTAAAACTAAAATGTCAACACATTGACAAATGACGTCAGCTTGTCACACGCAGGCAAACCCGTTTTATGTCACCCCACAGCAGTACAGACACATACTCCCACGTCTGTTCGTTACTGTCATGAGCAAGGTATTTTGGCCAGGTTTGTTTGAAATAATACACACATGAATGAAACTCTGAGACATCAGCGCAGCTGGCAATATTTACGGATTCAAATTACAGTTTTTGACTCTAGATTTTCCTTTCAATGGGCTACACTGGACGATTTTATGCTTTGCTTAAAACATAATGTAGGTAAAATGCGAGTGAAAAGACATCAGCAAAGTGGCTTCTGTGCTTTTTTATCAAAGTAGATTGTCTGCTGGTGCATATATTCGGTGCTATCTTTTCTTCACATGCAAAGGCTTTGGGAGTGAACATATTGGTGTGCTCCAGTCTGCTGGTTCTGCTTGTTACTCAGGGAGTTAATGGCTATGAGTAATTGATTCAGTCTACTGTGTTTGGGAATGCACTGAGTACTGTGCTCTGGTCCCTTGATTGATGAAACCAACACACAGCTGATGCACTGTGGAAACTGTTTACTCCCCAGATTCTCTGTGTTTCCAGAGCTAACCATTGAGACAGGACACTTTAGCTTAAAGAGCCACTTTTGATTTACATTTGTGATTAAATTAGCGTAGCAGACAGACCCCAATTAGCCTGAACACATTCCTTGTGGTTACATTCTCTATTTCACAACATTATCTATCAGAGGAGCCCATATTTGTCAAATGTGAATTACCCAGCTTGTTGATAAATATATGTGGTTAATACTGTACTTAGGCTAAATGTTATGTAATGTCTGTGTACTCATTGTGAATCGGGACGGCCAGCGCTAGACATCATTACTGTGATATTTAAAGGACTTTAAAGATCTAATCTAAGATGTATAATCGCACTGCGGGTCTGATGGCTTGTTTGAACATCGCATCAGAGTAAGCCTGCAAAACACCACATCTCCTGTCTAAAATCCACTGCCGCCCATGATCTCTCACACTGATAGGACATAAAGAGTTAGAGTGCCTCTGACATTACAGCTTAAGAAAAGATTCCATAAAAATCCTTAAGGTGTTATTTTATTTTATGTGTACATATATATGTACATATGTACATACACACACACACGTTCAAATGTTTGAAGTCGGTAAGAATTAAAAAAATATTTTTTTATTTTATGTTTTGAAAGAAGTATTCCATTACTCCAGTCTTTAGTGTCACATGATCCTTCAGAAATCATTATAATATGTTGAATTGGTGTTCAAGAAACATTTCTTATTATTATAAATATTGAAAACAGCTGTGTAAATTGTGTGTGGTGTCTTTGCAGTCACCGTCACCACGTCTTGCATGATCAGGAAGTTGATAAGCGCTTCTGCGTTCCAATGAACCACATGTGGCCGAACCAGGGTCTCTACACAGTGCACAACAGCTCCCTGTCTGAATATGGGGTTTTGGGTAAGAACCACCTATGCTCATTTTTCATCTTTTATCAATCAGCGTGCACAATTTTTTTTAAATATATAGGATAGTTCATTTTTCTGAGTTGAGAGACTTTATTTCATAACAAGTTACAAAAATAATGATAGAATAATGTAATATACTGTATAATAGGGCATGCTATCAGCAGACTCACCATTCCCTCCATCCCATTGGGCAACAGTAAAACAATGCCATTGTGGCGGACCCACTTGGCCTGGCCTGCAGAGATGAACTGGTCAATGATGCACTGGGCTGTGTTGTGGAAGTTCCCAAACTGAGCCTCCCAGCACACCAGGGCATTAGGATTAGCCATGGCAAAACCCAGCTCAAACCCTAAGCAACATGGGCATGTCAGAACATAAAATTTGGACATAAACATAATACTGTATAAAAGCTTCTTAGTATGGATTTTGCAAATATATGTGCTGTTGAATATTGGGAGCAGTTTGTTCTTGTACAGGCTGCTCATTTCTGGAGTTAATTTTACGGATATCTAAACCTCGGATTGTTAATTTATTTATATATAATCAATCAGCGTGCACAAAATGTTTTTATATATATATATATATATATATAAAAACATTTTGTGCACGCTGATTGATTATATATAAATAAATTAACAATCCGAGGTTTAGATATCCGTAAAATTAACTCCAGAAATGAGCAGCCTGTACAAGAACAAACTGCTCCCAATATTCAACAGCACATATATTTGCAAAATCCATACTAAGAAGCTTTTATACAGTATTATGTTTATGTCCAAATTTTATGTTCTGACATGCCCATGTTGCTTAGGGTTTGAGCTGGGTTTTGCCATGGCTAATCCTAATGCCCTGGTGTGCTGGGAGGCTCAGTTTGGGAACTTCCACAACACAGCCCAGTGCATCATTGACCAGTTCATCTCTGCAGGCCAGGCCAAGTGGGTCCGCCACAATGGCATTGTTTTACTGTTGCCCAATGGGATGGAGGGAATGGTGAGTCTGCTGATAGCATGCCCTATTATACAGTATATTACATTATTCTATCATTATTTTTGTAACTTGTTATGAAATAAAGTCTCTCAACTCAGAAAAATGAACTATCCTATCCTGTCAGACGTTATACTGTGCTTGTAGCACGCACTCTTCAATTGCACGTGCAAGTGTGGCGGCCGCACACTGTATCATTTCACTAAAGCGCAAAATAAACTATGAGCATGCAACGTGTGAAATAAAAGTAAAGTACCAATAAATCACATAACTGGTACTTTGTGTGCTAGCTGGGAAGGATTTGCATGAAGATATTATATTTTTTTAAACAAATTTCATCAAACAGATTTATATATATATCTCATAAAGTGGGTCGTGGCTTGATGACCATGGAACAATGTGGGTCCCACGTCCAAACCAGTTGAGAAGCACTGTATTAGACCATATCAAAGCAAATGCTATTTTTAGTGTCAGTTATGTAGATCATAACAGTCCTATTGACCACTGAATCTAATTTCCTGCAGAGATAAAATGCAGGGTAAAATCTTTTTCAGTCCTTTCCTTGACTCAATGGCAGAATAGCTGTACTAAGATCAATAATGATAACTCAAGTTTGGTCTGAGCCAATAAATGAGGCTATAATTCTTTAGCTTAGTGTGGCATTTGATAGACCTACACTCATTAGTGCTGGTGTGTTTGCACTAATGAGCAGGGCTCGGAGCACTCATCAGCACGGCCTGAGCGCTTCCTGCAGATGAGCAAGTTTGACCCTGATCGCTATCCGATGGCCCTTCCTGCCATGCCTCATGCTGAATGGCCACAGGTAGTTTGAAACGTACACACTTCACTGATTGCCAATTTGTTTGATGCTTAATATAGTTCTTGTTAAAACTGCTTTCCTTTTTAGTTTAGCAGTATGTCAGTTACAGTGGCAGGGCATCATGGGTAAAGACATTGGGGTGACAAGAATGGTACTAATTACAACCCTGATCAGTATTTACAAAACACGATCATTAAACAGGTTATTGACAAAAACAATCAGAAGTTAAATCAATTCATGAATGTTCTCTTTATGCAAAGGAAGTCTTTGGTGAAAATTTAAAAATCTAATATTTGTGCTATCGTGGAATCTTATATAATAATAAATTAATCATTAAATATTTGAAAAGAATAAACATGTTGAAATATCATATAATTGTTTTGTTTTTTTAAGAAAGTTTTTACTTTGACACATAATGGGATTTTTTTGACATGATATTTTTAATGAGCTGTGGTTTATTTACCTCATTTAAGGAATTCACTGGAGACTGTGAGGTCCAGCAGCTCTATGAGTGTAATTGGATCGTGGCCAATTGTTCAACACCTGCCAACTACTTCCATGTGCTTAGAAGGCAAATCTTATTACCATTCAGAAAGCCAGTAAGACAAAACTTTCAGCTGTCAGCAGCCTAATCTTTTTAATGCATTTTGTGGATTCGTATATATATACACACACACACACACACACAACTAGAATGTACAATTGAGAGAAATTGTAAACTAAGAGATGTAGTATTTATTTAGACTTAAGTTTAATGTCACAGCTGCTGTGATGGTAGTTTGATGGACTTTATTAACTTAAGCTTTAACTTAGTTTTTATGTGAAAGTTTGACATATCCCAGCACTCCTTTGCTTCTGTGCCACTGCAATTGTCTAAAGTGATTCCCTGTTGTGGAGGTTTGTGGAGCATGAGAAAATCTCTTCCTGAGCAAATTAATCCATGATCGTCTGGGAATGATATTGTTTGTTTAAAAGTGCTCTTAATTTACTGTTTTGCTTGGTTTCACAGCTGTGGTTGTGTTACTATTTTTTTTATTTCCTTAGATTGGCTTTTTAAAGTGCCTAAATGCAACTATAAATCAAAAACAGTTTATTTGACTGACCACATTTTCATATTCTTATTCAGCTGATCATTTTCACAGCAAAGTCTTTACTGAGGCTGCCCGAGGCGCGCTCCAGTTTCAATGAGATGATCACAGGTACAAAATTCTGGTAGACTTTAGAATTCTGTCCAGCTTTTGGGGATAGAATTTGGCCATATCTAATTCATCAATATTGCAGGGACAAAATTCCTAAGGATAATTCCAGATGATTGTCCTGCATCCAAAAATCCAGAAAAAGTCAAAAGGGTCATCTTCTGCACTGGAAAAGTGTACTATGAGCTGGCAAAAGAGAGAAAACTGCTGAAGTTGGAGGAGGATGTTGCAATTGTCAGATTGGAGCAGGTTGCCAACTATAGTTGTCTGTGGTGTAATGACACTGCAAAAATTACGTAAGGCCACGTTTCCTCATAGTGCACCCTAAGGATCCAATGTGGCGAGTCTCTTTTTAAAGGAAAAGTTCACCCAAAAGTGAAAATTTGCTGAACATTTACTCACCCTCAGGCCATCTAAGATGTGTCTGTTTCTTCATCGGAACAGATTTGGAGAGATTTAGCATTACATCACTTGCTCACCAATGGATCCTCTGCAGTGCCATCAGAAAGAGTGTCCAAACAGCCAATAAGAACAACTCCAGTCCATCAGTTAATGTCTTGTGAAGCAAAAAGCTACATGTTTGTAATAAACATCATTAAGATGTTTTTAATTTCAAACGAGTCCTCTATCCATAATATTGCTTTCTCCTGTTGTCACATCTGAATCAGAATTATGCACAGATCAAGCAAAAACAGTCCAAAAAAGTTCTCAACAAGTATGAAGGTGGATTTTGATGCGAGAGGACAACATGGGATTGACTTTTTCATTGGAGGAAGCATTATGAATTATGGACTATGGATTATTTTGGCCAGATCCAGCAGTTCAAAGTTGAAATGTCTTAATAATGGATTTGTTTAAGAATAAGATGAGAAACTTCATTGTCATGTCCAAAAATCCAGAAAAAGTCAAAAGGGTCATCTTCTGCACTGGAAAAGTGTACTATGAGCTGGCAAAAGAGAGAAAACTGCTGAAGTTGGAGGAGGATGTTGCAATTGTCAGATTTGAGCAGGTTGCCAACTATAGTTGTCTGTGGTGTAATGACACTGCAAAAATTACGTAAGGCCACGTTTCCTCATAGTGCACCCTAAGGATCCAATGTGGCGAGTCTCTTTTTAAAGGAAAAGTTCACCCAAAAGTGAAAATTTGCTGAACATTTACTCACCCTCAGGCCATCTAAGATGTGTCTGTTTCTTCATCGGAACAGATTTGGAGAGATTTAGCATTACATCACTTGCTCACCAATGGATCCTCTGCAGTGCCATCAGAAAGAGTGTCCAAACAGCCAATAAGAACAACTCCAGTCCATCAGTTAATGTCTTGTGAAGCAAAAAGCTACATGTTTGTAATAAACATCATTAAGATGTTTTTAATTTCAAACGAGTCCTCTATCCATAATATTGCTTTCTCCTGTTGTCACATCTGAATCAGAATTATGCACAGATCAAGCAAAAACAGTCCAAAAAAGTTCTCAACAAGTATGAAGGTGGATTTTGATGCGAGAGGACAACATGGGATTGACTTTTTCATTGGAGGAAGCATTATGAATTATGGACTATGGATTATTTTGGCCAGATCCAGCAGTTCAAAGTTGAAATGTCTTAATAATGGATTTGTTTAAGAATAAGATGAGAAACTTCATTGTCATTATAATAATACAATGAAATTTGTTTGGTAGCTCTCAGAGTTTGTTACCAATACAGATTTTCGCTTCATCGGAGCTGTGACAATTACTTGTGGATTATTGTGATGTTTTTATTAGCTGTTTGAACTCTCATTTTGACGGCACCCATTCTCAGTGATGTAATACTAAATTTCTCCAAATCTGTTCCATTGAAGAAACAAAGTCATCTAGCCTACACCTTGGATGACCTGAGCAATTTTCAGCCATTTTTCATGTTTGAGTGAACTATTCCTTTAAGATAAATGTTTGGTGTAGCCTAAACAAATTTATATACACCGAGCTAAAAACTTTCACATTCACTTTTAGGTTTGTTGACCGTGACCCTGCTGCAGCCCCTGCCACAGGAAACAAATTCACTCATCTAGCTGAGCTGAAGAGGTTCTTGGACACTGCCTTTAGCCTTGAGGCTTTCAAGGGCAGGTTTTTTTTATTCTATTGTGTTAGTTGTGGAAATTAGAGATTAAATTGTGCACAAGACAGCAGATAGAAATGTGTTAAACTCATATATCCATATATTTGCACCAGAAATCCCTAATCTGTCTAAAGTAATTGGTATTCTTATTTTATTTATTTGTCTTCCATAACTGTCACACTTGGCTTCATCCTGAGACATCAAACAGATGGCATGTAGACAAGTAACAATATTCTCTATGGCAGTGGCGATATTCTCTGTAGCTTCCACAAAATATGCTTCCTTTTTAGACTTTAGGGTTCTTGTGGCGTTCAGGACTCATGACATTTATAACGTCAACATGTCTGTGACAACTTTGAAATGCTATACACTCTGGGAAAGAAATAAAAGGAAGTTACAAAACAATTACTTAAACCACCAATCTGATAGGAACAAGTATCTGATATCTTTCTGTGTATCTGCTTCTGTAAGGGAATTTAGCAACACTAAAACGTGTACATTGTCATCTTTAATGATCATTCTATGGCTGCGTATACATAGATAAATCTTTATTGTCACTCAAGCTGGACTAATCAACTATAACTAGCAACTATAATCCAGCTAACTGAATTATAATTCAATGTTTGCTGTAGGCACTTGCTATAGTGAATTAAAATTTAAAATAAAATTAGATTTGGTCGTAGTATAGGCATTGCTCATGGGGAAAATGATCATAAATTCAATTCACTGTGATAGATTGTGATAAATGATAGATGCTTCTCAGCAATAATGCAATAAACTGTGTCACTGACAAACAATGGATGTTTGTTTGGTTATATAATTTTTCATATACCTGTGCACATAAGAGCTCTCCACAGACAGTGTGCTGCCTTCCTATACAGCAAGACAACATTAGTGAACATTGATGCTGTCTAGTTAGTATGCTCACTGGATATTAAGACCGTGTGTATGTTTAGAATAGTATACTATCTGTACCTTACAGCTCTTACAAGTGCTTCATTATGTAGTAAGCCTATGTATTCAGTGCAATATGCTAATTTCCTGACGTACTGTATTTGCTGAAATGAGCAGTGTATAATGGCACACTCATTTACTGGACTACTATGCCACAATGCAGTGCACTCTACTTGATTCTACGTTTCCAGTGTGATGAATAAACTGGAAGTAATACCGTATCTGCTTTTTTGACTCATCATCTGTTCAGACTGACACATTTTAAGACATTAAGGAGTGGCTGTGTAGCGAACTACGTTTGTTTACCATTATAATGGAATAACTCCACCTGGTTCACTTTCACTTCATATTTAGTATAGGCCTGCTGTTGTTCCACTCATATCCATTTCTTAAAAAAAACCCTAAAAAACAACATTTGGCGTTACTCTGCGTAGTATTCAGTACGCATTATGCTAGTGTTCCATTGCGAACACGGCCATAGACATGGCGTTCAGTACGCGTCCCTCACCGCGTCAATGGCCTCCTTACACCTCGGATCAAGTCGTCCCCCCCTATGAGCGAAGAGAAGTTTGACAGGGACTTCATGAGCATCACATCTCTTATCACCCAGAAAGCAGAGGTTTCCAAATTCTGACGCAAATTACCAAAATCAAGGTCAGTAATGTTGCACGTGCAGACGCACTCTCCATTCACAATGAGCTCTACTGTATTCCAGTCAACTGTTTTCTCGATGACACACTGGTGGCCGTCATCTTTTAGGACCGCTAGAAGTGAGGGTTATTTTCACCTAATTAAAATAGTGCTACATGCATTGTTACTATTGTTATGGGTAACTGGGTAAAAATGTAACAAAATGACTGAAACTTAATGACTCATTTTTAAGGATTACCTTGTAAACCTTCCAGGCGAAATGTTCTGTGCTCGACAATACCACAAGACTCATATGGACCATACTTTACCGTTACTACTGAATTAGTAGACATAATTATGAATCTATCTGTAATCCACCTCAAGGCTATAGCTGTTATCAAAACTGCGTTTGTGAGTATACATCTCTCCATAGTAACCTAAAACATGCAAACAGGTCCCAGGAAGCAGGAGACACATAATAGTCAAGACAGTAAAAGGCATAGTTCACCAAAAATGAAAATTACCCCATGATTTACTCACCCTCAAGCCATCCTAGGTGTATATGACATTCTTCTTTCAGACAAATACAATCTGAGTTATATTAAATAATGTCGAGGCTAATCCATGCTTTATAATGGGAGTGGATGGTAGCCCAAAGTTTGAAGTCCAAAAAATTGCACCCATCCATTATAAAAGAAGTCCACATGGCTCCGGGGGGTTAATAAAGGTCTTCTGAAGCAACGTGATGCGTTTGTGTAAGAAAAATATCCATATTTACAACTTATAGAGCTTAATCTCTAGCTTCCGCTAACTGTAGTACGCACATTCACAAGAGATTGGCCTACAGCGGATGACGAAAAAAAATCCTGAGCCAGGATACACATATTTCATAGTTGGTGGTAAATACTCAGAGCACACATCATTGGTTTTGATTAGTACTTTTTATGGCATAATTAGGATACAGTGATAAATAAACCATTTATCTTTTGAAAACTCTTTTTGAAAAAATAAATATCCCAGAGTTAAATAACATCACAGTTTATGCACTCCACCACAGTTTAACAAAATACATTCTGTTACATCCTCATTTGCACATGTATTTTCTGTTTTGCCCATTCGTATTCATGCTTAATATGATGTCATGATAAACAACAAACATATACTAATACTTGGGCAAAGGCTATAATTTCTCTATATTTGTAGTATACATATTCTCTCTCTTTTTATATATACTCTGTTATATGTAACATGATTGAGTGGTTTATTAGTCTATTTCAGCTAAGTTATTTTACTACAGTACATATTTGATCTAGTTATAAAGTGCTAAAATTCATTTCTCAAGGCGTCACTGTTTTAGTTTTTTGATCTACTTCACAATTACTGTCACGACTGGATCAACACGTAGGATATACAAATTACACACATTTAAAAAGCACAGTGTTCAATGCATATTCACAGTATAAAACATATTCTCACTGTGTACATTAGGCAGACATTAAGTATTGTTCTTTTTGTTTAGATATACCGTATAGACCTGGTGTGCAACATGTGTCAATGTCATTTTCAGACTTAATATAAGCATATTTTCACATACACAACAATGATTATACTTTAAAAAAAAAAAAAAAAGCTTAATAATTTTGTAACTATAATTAAACTATTCATCTTGGCTTCATAGTTCATAATCTGCTATTGCATTATAAATTGAAAATTCCTGTTACTATTATTGCATTGGAAATCAAGACAACCCACAGAATGGAAACACATAACAATGTTCTTTCAGCATTTGCAATGGCTCATATTCTTTAAACATTTATGCACACTGGATTGTTTTTAGGACCTCCGACTGTGCATTTCAGAATATGTGAGAATTCAATTTATAAAACACATAAAACACTGCACACTTTAAAGCTATAATACCATACAGTATAAATGATAATGACATTTTGTTTGTATACTGCAGACCTAAAATAGACTTTGCTATATATATATATATATATATATATATATATATATATATACATAACAAATATATTAAATAAACTTTAAAATGCAAAAGATGAGACTTTTTCAAAGACAAAGGTAAATAGCAGCTTCTGGTCCAGTTCCACAGGGTTGTCATTCAGAGTACTGTATTTTGACAGGCATCTATAACCATAAGTTATGGCAACTCTGACATGACCATAAAAACTGGTATAGAGATTGTAAATAGCTATAGGTTATCATATTATCATTTTCATATGCATACTAAACAATTGGATATACAGTATTTCAAAGGCAGCATATTTGAGAATGTAATTTTTTCATAAACTTGGACAACTACTTGGACAATTTCCAATTTCCAAGCATCAAGGCGGTCCTCATAATATCTTTTCATTGTTGTTGAAAAAAACCTGTTGAAACATTCTTCAAAATATCTTATTTTGTGTTCCACAGATGAAAGTGAGTCATACAGGTTTGGAATGACATGATGGTAAGTAAATGATTATTTTTGGGTGAACTATCCTTTTAATGCTGCCTTTGACAGTGACAACTATAATATACTCTTAGTCAGACTGAAAAGCTGGGTAGGATTCTTGGAAACAGACCTCAGCTAGTTCAGGTCATATTAAGAAGGCATCATTTACTGTATATCTGCTGAGCTTCATCTACTTCCGTTTAATTTGTATATGCTCTCATAGTCCAAATAATGTAAAATAACTAAATAGATCTACTTTTGTCAAGCAACTACAGCTCCATAGAATATCTATATCACTGCTGTTGGTAATTAAATTTGGCAATATAGAGGAAATACTTAAGGGAAATGCCTACTTTGACTCTGTTGCATATCAAAAGTATTCACTAAATCAGTCTTGCTATGTTTTTGAGTCTCTTATTTTCTCCCAAAATGTCCACCTTTGTACAGTCACACTGGTTTCTGCATCTTCCATACGATTCAAATGATGTAGCTTATTTCTATGACTTGCTTCCATTCTTCATTACCTTGGTAGTTCCGTCCTTCCTTTTCGTAGAGTCAGCTGGTTTAGCTTCAGTGTTGCATTTTGTGCATAGATCTTGCATTTCCTTCAGGCACCCCTCAAGAGTCTTCACAAACAAATCTGAGCTGGTCTCGGCACTGTCACAGAAGCTTGACACGCAGAAGATGATGTGATCCGTCTGAGGATTGTAGCAGGCTCCGTAGCCATTAGGGACAACAGGACCATAGCAGCAGAACATCTCTTCAGTGGTAGGAACCTATACAAAGACAAGCGTTTTTTAACAAAAATATTGGTGATCTAACATTTTTTCTGCATATTATATTCAAATAAAGATGAATGCACACTATGAATCACAAATCCATTTTAGGTCTATCTCTCATGATTTCAATTAGGCTTTAAAGTGAACCTGGCTTGTAGAGAGAATGAAGTGAATGCTGGTGGCATAGGTTGTATCAGAAAACAGCTCTGGCTTTTCTAGTTTCAGCTCCTTGGCAATCTCTCGTAGCCCCAGCAAGTGATTGTCTATTGCCATCCCAGTGATTGCCTGTTTCCAAAGAGTGGAAAAGCAATGTTTTATTGAAGAGTGGACGGTATGACAATAACAGTTTGATAATCATAGTCAAAAATGATTGTAACTGACAGATTGTGTAATTGTAGTTCAAATTCAGTTGTCTGTTTCACTTACTAGAATTGTATAATTGGTTTGGGCTTTAATGGCAGTCCAAAGCAACTCCATTTTCTCAACATCCTAAATGAATAAAGACAGAGGTCATTACTAAGCTACTCCTGTTTTGACAATATGCACAGCATTGACTACAGATGAGCTGACATTGCATAATTCAGGGCAGTTTGAATAGAGTATAATGAAAACAGACTAAACTACATACAGTGATTTTGGAGCTATTTGCCATAGCTTTCACAAATGCTAAGGCCTCAGGTGTGGAGGAGCGAATGTTGTCAACTCGTCCTTCTTGAAAGCGGCGTATTGATGCACTTTCATAGGTGGGCACTAGACATCCATGACATCTGAGTGCAAAAGGAAAAAAACTATGTCAGACATAAATCTTCTCTCTGTAGTACTAATACATCTTAAATTATAGAGAAGACTGACCTGTAAAATGTAAACTGGAGGGCAACTTGAACATAAGCATCAGGGCTCATTTTCTGTTTCTTGATGAACTCTTTGCCATAACCAGTGAATTTGCTGACATTCATGTCCAGATTTTTCACAAGCCTGTGGGAATTAACAGTTAATATACTACCATTCAAACGTCTCGTGTAAGTACTTTTTTTCTAAATATTTTTGAAAGTCTCTTATGCTCACTGAGGCTGCGTTTATTTAATCAAAAATACAGTAAAATTTGTAATATTGTGAAATATTATTACAATTTAATAGAACTGTTTTCTATTCTAATAGATTTTAAAATGCATTTTATTCCTGTGATGGCAAATCTGAATTTTCAGCATCATTACTCCAGTCTTCAGTGTCACATGATCCTTCAGAAATCATTCTAATACACTGATTTGATGCTCAAGAAACATTCTTAATGATTCTCAATAACATTATTATCAATGAAAACAGTTGTGGTGCTTAATATTGTAGCGTCTGGACCACTCAGACACACAATATATATTTTGTTAGCTAGATTTAACAAATACTCTGTAACACCCCAGGAAGCTGAACAGGCCCCTGGTTCCATAAGCAATGCTGACACCCGATACATTTACGACCTCCTGGAATTTAGGTGAAGAAAATCACTTCCTTGCCCATATGGAAAATCCACAAGGGAAGGACTTTTTTAACATAATATTTTGGGATTCTTTGATTTACAGCATTTAAGATAGAAATCTTCTGTATAACATTTATAAATGTCTTTCACTATCACTTTTATTCTTGTCTGTCAATTTTTCTCAATTTTATGCATCTTGAATAAAAGTATTAATATCTTTCAAAATAAAAATCTTACTGACCTCAAAATTTGTAACAGTAGTGCATGCAAGAAACCAAAAGATACTAAAACATTTATTGTATTTTACACTATTTATTTGTTCAAATGTTATTTATTTTTATCAATAATTGAATAATTAACTTTGATGTCTTCTAAGGTATGCTTTAAATGGGTCATATGATGCGATTTCAATTTTTTCTTTCTCTTTGGAGTGTTACAAGCTCTTGGTGCATAAAGAAGATCTGTAAAGTTGCAAAGACTAAAGTCTCAAATCCAAAGAGATATTCTTTATAAGAGTTAAAAGTCAGCCACGCCTACCTAAAACGACTCGTTCTAACACGACCCCACATGTCTACGTCACGATGTGGGAAGATTTGCATAACGCCGCCCAAATGTTCACGCAAAGAAAGAAGGCGTAACTTTTATTCTTGCTGTAGTATTGTTGTTGCCGCCACCACCATGTCGTGAAGGCACTGTGTGATTCATTGTGAAAGTGAAACTACTTTGTTTGGCCTTCCAAAAGAGGTGATCCGTGCCTAGAGCTGATCCGTGCTGGTTGCTGAGGAAATACAACTTTTTGCGCTGTGGATTGCCGGATAGGCTTTCACCGTGGACGAAGCGGAGTCCAGCCCGGGGTCGTCACATGTGGTTGCCACAAGTCCTCCGGACGCTCCTTTGTCGAATCCGCCTGCCGCGCCGTTCTCAAGCCCGGATATGCAAAGTTTAGTGTAATAAATGACATGCTATCAGAATGGAATCTGTTAGATGTGTAGAACTTACTAGCCTGTTGTATCACCTGAATGTTGACATACCTCTGTAATTTATCTGCTGAGGACGTGAGAAACGTTTGGATATCTGCCGAGCATTTCCAGTGCAGTTGTCTGGGGGCAGGAAGCTCACTCATGCTGGCTGCCCTCACCAGCTTAGAAGGGCTTCCTCTCCTGTGAGAGAAACAATCTTACAGTCCATCACATTGCGTCTTCACTAGCTTAGTTGCTATTCTCAGGCTGTGGGTATATATCTCTAGTCGTCTCATTAGAGTCGTCAACTGTGCTGTACTAGTGAGAATAAGCGTGCAGAAAGATATTACAGATTCTTTCAGAAGTTAATATATTCTTTGAATTTGCCAGACCAACATTGCATTCTGGGTAATCAAGAGTTACTTAAAAATGTAATTCTGTAAATGAAATAATAATTTGGCTTACATGTATCTCAGTAGATATTCTGTACATTGCACAAGCACTATTCCCTCAAAAGGTGAGTGTTCACATACAACGCCACAGGATCCATCTGCACCTATTACAAACTGAAATCATTAAGATAGTTTAATTTTAGAATTCATCTTCCTGGTCATATGATCAATGCAATTTGAATCCATCTGTGTTTTTTTTCTCTTTACCTGCATGGGCTTGTCATACCAACGGTTGCCCCCATTTTTGTCTGTGCCCCCTCCGTGGAGCATCAGTAAAGCTCGGTTGGTATCAGTCAGTTCAGTGCCAGACGGCTCGTCCAAACACACCAGACACAGACAGCGCTCAATCATGTCTATAGAGTCCCTGTTGGTAGAATCTGCACCAGATTGAGAGGCATTACATTTTATGTGTGTGAATTCCATTAACCTGTGCAGAGCTTTTTGTTTTATCAAGGGAATTTATAGTTGTGTGAGAGTTGCCTTTCCAAATAAAGTCAAGTTGTTTAGTTTCTTAATATTTTGATGTCAAATTGCAGGTCTAGTAGCAGATACAGCTTGTATAGTTGAGGATAAATGATGTCTGACCTTTGATCAGCATGCTGCGAGCCTCGGCCCACTGTGTTCTGTCATCTGATGTGAGCAGACCGATCGGAGGCAGACGCTCTTCTTCAATGTCTGACATCTTTCTGATTCGCTCCAGCTGAGTGTAAAGGTCTTTTTCATTCAACCGACGAAAGTTTATCACCACGTCGAGAACAAAAAACTGCAAACACATACAGCATGGTATGGCAGAAAACGCATCAATCTTTGTCTTTACTGCTTGCTTATGACTTTTTGAGACAAATTTTAAATATAAATATAAGGAACAAGCATAGCAACATAAAAACATCAGATATAGTTGTTAGTTTCACTACTAGGTAATACCTACTTGATTCTTACAAGCCACTATTATATGTTCGGGCTCGGGCATAACTGTGCTCTTCTGAGCCACTAAAGTGTCAGTTTTTGGCCCTGGCAAACGGTAGGAGGTGAAGACCTTGTTGTACTGATCCATACACAGGGGCGTCCCAGCCAGCTGCCCACGAGCATAGTCTACAGGGAGGGCACGTCTGCAACAAGCAGCATACATCCATGTTTAGAAAACTATGCAATTAATTATTAGTAAAGTTTTAAGTGTTTGATTTGTTGAAAACAAGGAGTATAACCTACCCATCTATAAGAGATTTATACTCTAATACGCCAGAAATTAGATGGGCAGCAAATCTGTAGAGGAAAAAAAAATATGCATATAGGTTTATATATATACGCTAACATTAAAATTAGAATTATTTATTTATTTTATTTTTTATGTTCTTGAAACAAGTCTTTTATGCTTACCAAGGCTGTGTTTATTCAGAAATATAGTAAAAACTGTAATATTGTGAAATACTAATACAATTAAATCAGTTTTCTATTTTAGTGTATTTTAAGATGTGATTTATTCCTGTCATGGCTAAACTGGATTTTCAGCAGCCATTACTTCAGTCTTTAGTGTCACATGATCCTTCAAATCATTCTAATATGCTGATTTGGCACTCAAGAAACATTTATTATTATTATCAGTGTTGAAAACAGTTGTGCTGCTTAATATTTTTGTGGAAACTGTGATACAGTTTTTTTTTCAGGATTCTACAGTATGCCAAATAGAAAGTTCTAAGAACAGAAATCTTTTGCAACGTTCATTTTCATTAAAGAAAGCACATTCACAGTCAGCAATGCAACTCCATTGGTTTAATTAGTTTTTAGAACAGCACTTAATCAAATTATGTCTATTAAGAAAGTCATTGGTTTTATTTTATATTCACAAAATGAGGCTAATGCAAGACTGATGCTTAACATTATTACATCCTTCAATAATAAAACATTTTGAAATATTTTATGAGAAACATAACTTATTCTATGTTAAGCCTTAAATAGAAATGTCCATCATAGCATGTATTGTTTCCATTTTAGGACTGAAATCAACATCAACTAATGATGGGAGGGGGACTTTGTCTACACATGTAATAATCTGTAGATTAAACTCTCTATAATGACAAATCAAGTCTTAATTAATGTGCCTCTCAATTACATTGCCATATGGAGCTACAGTTGGTGGATGAAATCATGCAGTAACAGACCTGACAGTTTTGCATAATCCTAATGCGTATACAGTATCCTTAATATCCTCTGCATTTCAATTTAAACAAATTTATATCAATGAAGACATGCAGGAATAATTGTCATCTCAGTTTATAAGAGTAAAAATGGTCCCTGCTGTATCCCCAGAGTCCCGTACCTGAGGGTGTCACTTTGACTCCTGAAGTTCTGCTTGGGAAAGACCATCACAGGACTGGAATTGACAGGTAGTGCTAATCTGTTGCTCAAATACATGTCTTCAAGCCAGTAGTCATACACCTTGGACAATGTTTAAAAAGAGGCAGAGTATGAGCAAATAACTTTTAAACAATATTTAACACAATGTGCCTGCACATTAACCGCAAAGTTGCTTACAGAAAAGTCACCTTTTTTCTTAGCAATTAATGCAGTCCTTACCCAGTTGGCTGTATGTTCGCTTCTCTCCAGTAACTTTTTCTGTAGAAATTCTCCCATCCCGCCAGGTGCTCCAAATTTCTCTACAATCGCCTTTGTCTTTTTTAACTGCTCCTCTGTTATGAGGTGACTCGTGCACTTCAGGTACATGTTCAGTGTTTGTTGCAAGGGTGGCACTGGGAGCTTTGGGAGGCCCTAAATTGAGATCATGATCAGAGCTTTAATACTCTAATACGCCAGAAATTAGATGGGCAGCAAATCTGTAGAGGAAAAAAAAATATGCATATAGGTTTATATATATATACGCTAACATTAAAATTAGAATTATTTATTTATTTTATTTTTTATGTTCTTGAAACAAGTCTTTTATGCTTACCAAGGCTGTGTTTATTCAGAAATATAGTAAAAACTGTAATATTGTGAAATACTAATACAATTAAATCAGTTTTCTATTTTAGTGTATTTTAAGATGTGATTTATTCCTGTCATGGCTAAACTGGATTTTCAGCAGCCATTACTTCAGTCTTCAGTGTCACATGATCCTTCAAATCATTCTAATATGCTGATTTGGCACTCAAGAAACATTTATTATTATTATCAGTGTTGAAAACAGTTGTGCTGCTTAATATTTTTGTGGAAACTGTGATACAGTTTTTTTTTCAGGATTCTACAGTATGCCAAATAGAAAGTTCTAAGAACAGAAATCTTTTGCAACGTTCATTTTCATTAAAGAAAGCACATTCACAGTCAGCAATGCAACTCCATTGGTTTAATTAGTTTTTAGAACAGCACTTAATCAAATTATGTCTATTAAGAAAGTCATTGGTTTTATTTTATATTCACAAAATGAGGCTAATGCAAGACTGATGCTTAACATTATTACATCCTTCAATAATAAAACATTTTGAAATATTTTATGAGAAACATAACTTATTCTATGTTAAGCCTTAAATAGAAATGTCCATCATAGCATGTATTGTTTCCATTTTAGGACTGAAATCAACATCAACTAATGATGGGAGGGGGACTTTGTCTACACATGTAATAATCTGTAGATTAAACTCTCTATAATGACAAATCAAGTCTTAATTAATGTGCCTCTCAATTACATTGCCATATGGAGCTACAGTTGGTGGATGAAATCATGCAGTAACAGACCTGACAGTTTTGCATAATCCTAATGCGTATACAGTATCCTTAATATCCTCTGCATTTCAATTTAAACAAATTTATATCAATGAAGACATGCAGGAATAATTGTCATCTCAGTTTATAAGAGTAAAAATGGTCCCTGCTGTATCCCCAGAGTCCCGTACCTGAGGGTGTCACTTTGACTCCTGAAGTTCTGCTTGGGAAAGACCATCACAGGACTGGAATTGACAGGTAGTGCTAATCTGTTGCTCAAATACATGTCTTCAAGCCAGTAGTCATACACCTTGGACAATGTTTAAAAAGAGGCAGAGTATGAGCAAATAACTTTTAAACAATATTTAACACAATGTGCCTGCACATTAACCGCAAAGTTGCTTACAGAAAAGTCACCTTTTTTCTTAGCAATTAATGCAGTCCTTACCCAGTTGGCTGTATGTTCGCTTCTCTCCAGTAACTTTTTCTGTAGAAATTCTCCCATCCCGCCAGGTGCTCCAAATTTCTCTACAATCGCCTTTGTCTTTTTTAACTGCTCCTCTGTTATGAGGTGACTCGTGCACTTCAGGTACATGTTCAGTGTTTGTTGCAAGGGTGGCACTGGGAGCTTTGGGAGGCCCTAAATTGAGATCATGATCAGAGCTTTATTGTGATTTATTAACTTACATTTCACCATCAGGGACAGTTTCTACTTAAGTAGCATTTGTTGTGATATTGTTCTTAAGCTAATGAGTCTCTTATCTAATCAGACATGATAGAGTCTTGATCCCAGACAAGTATTATTTTTAAATAATTTTGCCCAGTGTTTGACCTGGCTGGATACAACATGATCACCTCTGTTATAATGGCATAAAACAAGATTATATATGTTTTGAATGCAGCACTGTATTTTCAAAATTGTTAACGATGTTTATAATCATTGTTAGAAGATAATGTTTGAAATGTAATATTGTTTAGTTAAGCCACATCATTTAAAAAATGTACATAAAAATATATAATAGTCTTTTGCTTACACTTGGATCTCCCGTGTTTCTTGCTTGTTCCCTTTTCAAAACCGGCATCCTCAAAGTTGAAGAAGTTCAGTCAAGAAAGATGAAAATCCACAGATAATTTTTCCAGTTCCCTCTGGAACAGACATAAAGGTATGAGAGAAAGCTTGCATTGCAAATAGTTTTCAACAATTTCATTTTAGAAATATAATTAGGCATAAAAATTCAAAAGGCTTTGCTATCTGGATTTTTCTTTTCATCAGCCACATCAGTTAGACAAAGCTATGACCAACCTGTAATTATCCAAAATTAATTTGAAGGCTAATATTAAAGAAATCTAATGAAGATTTTTCCTCTTGAATTTAAATTAAGTAGAAAGTCTGTTATAGCTTTTTAGTTCCATGTAGTTCTTATTTAAAAAGGAGGCTGTAAGCATATTGTACATATATACTATTATTTATGTCAACTTAAGAAATACTCACCAAAATGTCATACTCTTTGTTGGAGTCCACCGATGTCTCTAAGGATTTATCCAGATTCATTGTCCCATCATTGTTTTATTAAGAGGAAAATGTCGTTAATGGTGTGCGTTCACTTGTTTCAGGCGGCATACTTGCGTCCCATTCATTGCAAGTCAGGAGCTTCTTAGGATGCTCCTTAGGAAAGATGCTGAAGGATGCTGAAGAAGCGGTACCTTTCTCAGACTCCACCCACTAAACTCCATTCGCTCGATGCTGCATCTGCCAGCCCACCTCATACTTCAAGTCGAGTCCTTGAACGAAATTTATGAGCACCCTTCCAAATCTCGGAGAAGAAAAAAATGGCCGTACACGAACGCGCTCGATAATTTAATTAAAACGAAAAGTGGAGAGGTTTATTTTAGACCCTCTTGCACCAGAAGCAATTGTTTTTCTTCTTTTAAATAAATAGCATCGATTTACTTCTGTTTTGAGCCTCCTGTATATTTTCCCCGTTTTGGTTAATCGCTTTATATCTTTTTTTTGGAGTGGAAAGAAAAGTTTGTTTAGCACAGCCTTTTCATTATGCTATATATTTGCTTCCCACCACAGAGGAACCTGTTGCACAAGAACGTCATCCCCCGTGTGTTTTATGCATAATTATAAATATGCATGTAGTAATTATATTTATAACGATGTCCAGTTTATGCTTGTAATTTCTTTGTATGAATAATCTAATTTCTTTTTCGTTTTTGTTGATGCGTTTCACTGCGCTAAAACTAAATAAGCGAACACGTTTTGCATATGGTATTACGTTGAACATTAATTTCTATTTATAAATATCAATAATTACTCATTGTCTTTTATAAGAAAAATGTCATTCAAAACGAAATTAATTAAAATTCCAATGTGTGTATATATATATATATATATATATATATATATATATATATATAAGCACACGTTGCGCAGGAGAAGCAGGGCTGGTGCGTAAAGTACGTTCGCCAGACCCATGCCCAGATTAAGCTGCACAAAACCGAGATCGTGCACTATTTTACCGGCCACGATGGGACCCAGCGCGTAGGCAACACAGTAGGAGATGTCTGCAATAGCGTATACACTACCGTACACAGACACGTGACGGACGTCTACGAGAAAAGCAAGTGTTGGTAATAAAGCTGTGTCTACCAGTGCAATACCGAAACAAATGCCACACAGGGGGATTATCAGCTGCTCAAAGTTTTTGCAGGCCGGCACAATACAAGAGCTGGCACCAATGATAACCATGCCAAGCGCCCCATAAAACCACTGCAAGTGTGGGTACTGTGCTGCCAGCTTGACAGTGATATAAACACCTAATACGTGAGGGAAAAAGGCCGGTAGCCAGGTGAGCCCAATCTCCCACTGGGATGAATCCATGGTCTCCTCCATCCAGTTAGCGATGGTGGGCTCCAGGAAAGCAAGGGGGATGTTACATGTGGTCAAAGCTCCTGCCACAACTGCTATGTAGGGATCAATCATTAGTTTGTAAATTGGGGTGCCAACCGGCATATTCTCTCTAGTCCTACTGGAAAAGGGCTTGAGGACAGTCATGCATAGTATACCATCTGCCAAACATATAGAGGCGAGCACGAAGAACGGCACGCGTTTGCCCACGAACTCGTACAGTACCCCTCCGAACGGGGGCGCCGCCAGGCTTCCGAACGAGATGAACGCGAGAGCAATGCCCAGCGCGCGACTTCTCTCTGCCTCCTCCGTGAACTTGTCTGCGATCATGGCAATCCCAGAAGTGTCTGCGAATGCCGAGCCGAGCCCTTGCAGACTTCGCGCGACGAACAGAGTCGCGTAGTTATCGGCGAAGGCAAAAATACATGTCGAGACAAACATGATACTGAGTCCAATGAAAAGTGGGATGTCATAGCCGACTCGGTCTATGAAAGTTCCGGTCAAAGGATTGACAATGAGCTGCAAAATGGCTTTTGAGGCGAAAAGCACGCCGATCTGCACGTCAAAGTTCTCGTTTTGCGTGCTGTTGGTTGAAGAATTACCAGTTACACGCGCCTGCTCTGATTCGCTCTCTAAGCGCGCTAAATAATCGGGCACAATTGGCACGATGACCATGTAAAGCATATTGTCTAGAAGAAGTGCCACACATACAATAACTAGAATAATCCTTCTTTGTCGCTCGGGGTCCTGGATCGCAGTTCCTAACTGTTTAGTTCTTTCACCCATCTCTGATAGTTTAACGGCGGCGGTTTGCGCCAAGCCACCCGATTCCTCCGTAGTCATGATCCACACTTTGGTCGGTTTAAGCAAAAGACTCTAACTCTCTTCTACACTGTGCTTTTCTCCCAAAGAAAGTCTGCGCACATTGGGTTGTCCAAAACTCCCTGAATAGTGAAACCTTGGCACGCGGACCAACTTTTCCTGCTTTACCTAGCAGTCCTTCGTTGCGCGTGCATTTCCTCTCCAGCGACTACTGTCAGGCAGTGTTGTTTCATCGTATTCGGGTGAGGACGCCAAGTCAAAAACTCACAGTCAGTTCAAAAATTCTCCTCCTTGGTTTTCCCCTTCTTCACGCTGTAGCAGGACGCACGGAGCACGAATGAGCGTGAATAGATGAATTCACCTGTAGCGCAATGTCATCATTTCTCCTCAGCTGTCTTCTTATTGATGCCACCCAATGCAGATGTGCTTACATGTTGATTCCATTGGAATCGCTCCTCTTTTTTCCCAAGGATGTGACGCACTGTTTGATACCCCCTCAAGTGGTTCCCCAACCAGCTGGGTCTTTTATGCTCATTTAACACGTCAAGCCCCTATCCAATAACGCCAGGCAGTGCTTTGCTTTATAACTTCCAAATATTGAGCGTGCTTCTGTAACTGCTTAGGACCACAAACCTTAAGTCACCGAGCTCGACAGATATGCTGACTGCGAGGAAGATGCCTGCCAGTGTTATTTTAGTTGTTCAGTAAGAACTCACTCACTGAGAATTTATTGACCGCCGTTATTTATTTTCCAAAAAGAAAGTTGTATGTTAATAAGCAGTGCGCCCGGTGTTTCTTTTTTCCAGACAGATGCTATTATTCTGCGACGGCTATTGCTTACATTTCGAAATATGATTTTAGGTTTCAGTTCGACGGAAAGGGAGAAAGAAAAAAATTGAAAAGAAAAATTATAATGTGTAATCTACCCCCTACACCTAGTGCGTAATTTCACCAAAGTGGAATAATTGCTATGTAATTATATCATGCAAGGTTAAAATGGGTTTAATTAGTTTGATCAAAGGCTTTTTATGATTGGGGACTATAGTGTACTCAAACTCAAAACGTAACATCATTATACGACAAAAGGCATTTTGTTAACAAAATAGCAACACTTTTTCCATTAAATACATTTTAAGTATTGTATAAAAATCAGTTTATTGAATTTCAGCACCACATCTGGTTGGACAGCTCCTCATCCTTTAAAGCAAAGATTGATCAGCTGTAAACTGTTAAGATTTATCCGGAAGCTTTCAAGGTAGCAGTGACAGGAATACGCATTGCCATTTTTAAAGATTTGTTTTCCTTGCAGTTGACTGACAACCTGGATGTAACGTATACGTAGTAGATGACCAGTGCTTTTACTGTTAACGCCATCTGCTGTGCAAACCCGCCAGCGAACTCGGTTTGGCGTTTCCTGCCTGGTGGAGAACAATAATTAGGGGCTAGTGACATCTAGTGGTTTGTTTGATATACTGCCTGGGGTCAAACCTGTGCTGAATGGTGAATCTGGACATGCCGTCTTCAACACCTGTAAGAGCCGTTGTTGATTCTTGTTAGTGTTCTTGTTAGAGAATAATCAGATTCCAAAAATTAAGTAGCCTGCTTGTAATTACATTGTTACATTTTAAAATACTCGTAATCAGACTACATTTATACTTTTTTGATTAGGCCTACATGATTACATATTATTCACACAACATTAAATTATTAAAAATGTATTGATTCTCTAATTCTTTACTTTTTCATCTTTTAAATGTTCCACTCTAAAATACTTGGACTTATATACATTCAGAAAGTCTTCCAGTATTGTAGACATTCCCACAAAGACCAGTCACTAGTCAGGTGCCTATAATTACACAGAAAATTGAGAGGCCACACAACATTCAACTACTGGAATTACAAAAATCATTTAAATTTAGTGCATTTCATCATTAACACATTATTTTGTATTAGAATTATCGCTCAATGGGTTATGTAACTATGTATTACTATGTCTTTGAATGTGATGTTATGTGTATGCCAAGTAACCCAAGCATTTAACTCATCCAAGTGCACACACACAGCAGTGTGTAGTTAAAAACAAACACACACAGGGCTGGATTTACCTCTTATCGTGACATAGGCACAATACATTTTTGGGCACCCCTTCCTTATTAATATATAATATTACCACCCCTGCAAAAATATTTTGTATTCAGTGGAAACCGTATATAGAGTTCTCTGTTGTAATAAGCACAAAATCGTCCAGCTTGCGTTTAGTCATTGAAGATCGAATGTAGTTCTTAATTCGTTTGAGAATGGAGAAAGACCGTTCCATTCATAGGCTCTGGCGTTGTGGCCACATTATCACTTCAGGAGTGCATTATTTCTCTAATAGGTGTAATGGCCTGGAGTCACAACCACACCTCAAGACATTTTTCAGATATTTTATTCCAAGACATTTGTCATGTTTTGGGGTTTTGTTTGGTATTATTTTAAAATGATTTATTTTCATTTTACAGGTGAAAATGAAAATAAATAGTTAACAATTATAACATTTAAAACAGTTTTATGGAGTTTTTATGTACTGAAAGTTTTATTTTTATTTTAGGAAAGCTAAATATGTTGTTAAACAACAGTATATTAATTGAACACACTATACTTCTATCCCTTACAGCCTCGTTTTCATTCCTGTCAAAAATTATATATCCTTATTAAGGTCTACATTAGTGGACAAAATTATTAGAACACTAGTATTTTCCTCAGCTAAAAAATTATTTTAAGCCAGTTATTTCTATCTTTTGCTGTACTGTGTCAGTAGGAAATATCAGTTTACATTTCCAAACATTCATTTTGCCATTAATTGTAATAATCCAGTGAGATTTTTGTTTGCACAAGGAGTCTGACAACGGCCAGTGCTCCACACACAGACATGAAGAAACAGAACAAACTGAGACAGACTAAATCCAGAAGAACTGTGGCAATGTCTCCAAGATGCTTCAAGAATCCTGCACTATACTTCTATCCCTTACAGCCTCGTTTTCATTCCTGTCAAAAAATATATATCCTTATTAAGGTCTACATTGGTGGACAAAATTATTAGAACACTAGTATTTTCATCAGCTAAAAAATTATTTTAAGCCAGTTATTTCTATCTTTTGCTGTACTGTGTCAGTAGGAAATATCAGTTTACATTTCCAAACATTCATTTTGCCATTAATTGTAATAATCCAGTGAGATTTTTGTTTGCACAAGGAGTCTGACAACGGCCAGTGCTCCACACACAGACATGAAGAAACAGAACAAACTGAGACAGACTAAATCCAGAAGAACTGTGGCAACGTCTCCAAGATGCTTCAAGAGACCTTCCTGCAAAGCTACAGTACTGTGAAAAGTTTTAGGCACTGAACTGTGGCAATGTCTCCAAGATGCTTCAAGAATCCTACCTGAAAAGCTACCTGAAAAACTATGCGCAAGTGCACCGAGGGCAAAAGCTGCTTTAAATGCAAAGGATGGTCACACCAAATGTTGATTTAATTTAGTTAATAGAAGTTAATTGGTAAAGAAAATTTATTTATGACATTAGTTTTGAAAGCATCCTCAATTTACAGCATTTTTACACAAGTGCCTAAAACTTTTCACAGTACTGTAGCTTTGCAGGAAGGTCTCTTGAAGCATCTTGGAGACGTTGCCACAGTTCTTCTGGATTTAGTACGTCTCTTTGTTTTTTCTGATTCTTCATATAATTCCAGACAGACTGGATGATGGTGAGATCAGATCTCTGTGTGGAGCACCGGCTGTCGTCTTACTCCTAAACATACAAAAAGCTCACTGGATTATTACAATTAATGGCAAAATGAAATGAATGTTTGGAAATGTAAACTGATATTTCCTACTGACACCCTGAAAAGCTACCTGAAAAACTATGCGCAAGTGCACCGAGGGCAAAAGCTGCTTTAAACGCAATGGATGGTCACACCAAATGTTGATTTAATTTAGTTAATAGAAGTTAATTGGTAAAGAAAATGTATTTATGACATTATTTTTGAAAGCATCCTCAATTTACAGCATTTTTACACAAGTGCCTAAAACTTTTCACAGTACTGTAGCTTTGCAGGAAGGTCTCTTGAAGCATCTTGGAGACGTTGCCACAGTTCTTCTGGATTTAGTATGTCTCTTTGTTTTTTCTGATTCTTCATATAATTCCAGACAGACTGGATGATGGTGAGATCAGATCTCTGTGTGGAGCACCGGCTGTCGTCTTACTCCTAAACATACAAAAAGCTCACTGGATTATTACAATTAATGGCAAAATGAATGTTTGGAAATGTAAACTGATATTTCCTACTGACACTACAGCAAAAGATAGAAATAACTGACTTAAAACTATTTTTAGCTCGTGAAAATACTAGTGTTCTAATAATTTTGACCACTACTGTATAGGCATACAAACCAATAATTAAATAATGTTATAATAACTCCTACCACAAGATGGCCCTAGTAGGGCATACATATGCAGCCAGCAGTGTATAATATTAACACACACACACACACACACACACACACACACACACACACACACACACACACACACACACACACACACACACACACATATACATATATATATTAAGTAAATATATATATATATATATATATTAAGTAAATATATATGTATATATATATATATATATGACGTAAATATATATATGAAATAAAATATCCCATTAAAATAATTTAACACAATCTGCAAACACTCTTTCTGATGTATCTGATAATTTTGTAAGTGATATTTATGTTGGATCTTATTCTATAGACAAAGTGGTATAATTCCATTAAAAAAATGTATTAAGTATGTTTTCTTACTCAAATGGCAGAAAATATATCATAAACAAACCCACACAAAAAATTAATTTAATAATAATAATAATAAACCTGTGCATCACATGATGTTGTGCATTTATTCGTGGCATGTAGTGCACTACATAATATGCATTCAAATGGTCTGTTTCCCCCTGGGAGCTGTTGTTTTCATGTGGCTTTTTCTGTCTTCCTCTCGCTCTCTTTTTAATCCCTCACTCTACAGCCTGTCTTTGCGGTCTATTCATTCACTGGAAATAATATGGTTTTAATTCCTTGCATTGGCTTGGCGTGAAGCACATACTGTACGTCATGTCCCCAATCCCTCCTCCTCCTCTTCTTCACTCGATTCGTTCTCTGATGATCAAAGTTTTTGTGCTGTTTCAGCCTGTACTCCATTCTGATCTGATCTGAAATCATGGGAAACAAGTTCACCATGTAATCTTCTGTGGTAAAAAGTATTAATTCATGATGTCTGTGTTTAAGTTGAAGCAATCATGGTTAAACTCCCATTTTATAGGCTTTGAAAGCTCTGTAGTAAGTTGAAGGCTGTGTTTTATTTCAGTGTTTTGACACTTTTAGATTTTGCTCTGATTGTATTATTCTGTTGACAGAATAATCAAGATTCTCTAAATTATTTTTA